TCTGTGAAGCCTGGCAGCCCAGGAGGCCCTGAGCAGTGGGTAAAGGGGTGGGTGGGTGGATTTGGGGAGCTGGGGAGGGGGAGCCCTCTGAGCCCAAACCCAAAGCCTGAATACCAGCTGACACATCGCCGCCTCCAGCCTGATGGGCCCTGCTTTTGACGGAGAAGCCAAGCCAGCTCTGCAGGGAGCGCAGAGTAGGGGGGCAGGAGGAACCTTGCTCGGGAGCTCTCTGCCTCCCTGGGGCAGGCCTGGGAGGACCACGTGGGAGGACTCCTGCAGAGGCTGGGCAGAGGCCACTGAGTTGGGGCTGGGCAGAGGCCACTGAGTTAGTAAAGCTAGGGCAGCCCTGTGCTCTCTTCAACCCCCTGGAGGCTTCCTGCCAGGCTGCCTCCAGGGCTGTAGAAGTGCATTCTGGTCTTCCCAGGGGCACTTATGGGCCTTTTTGGGTGCTCCTGGCTTCCTTGGGGTGGGTTCTTGCTGCAGTATTCACACAGAGTGATGCCATTTGGATGCATCAAGAACAAAGGGCCTGGGGGGAGGGAGAGAGAGAGGGAGGAGAGAGAAGGAAAGAAGGAGAGAGAGAGAGAGAGAGAGAGAGAGAGAGAGAGAGAGAGAGAGGTTGGTTCAAGGTCACAGAGGGTATCAGAAATAGGAGCAAGATAGGCTTGTACCTCAGTGCCCCATCCCACTGCCACTTCTCACATCCACTTTAACCCTTCTCTGTTCTCAGCATCTATCCCTAAATCTTAAAAGAGGATTGTTCTGTTGGTTAACATTTAGAATCTTCCAACAAAGCAGGCAGAAGATGCAGAATTAGATATTATCATCGGTAATAATGATGATGATAATAGTAACAAACATTTATTGGACACCTTTCATGTCAGGCTCCATGCAAAGCAGCTTGTGCATATCGGTCCCTAATTCTTCCTGAAGCCATATGACCTAACCCCTGTTAGCAAAATGTCAACTTGGAGCTTGTCGATCTTAAATAACCTGGCCAAGGTCAGATGACTAAGGAAGATTTTGTCTTGAGAGATAGATAGATCTTGGGTTCTTAGTTGATGCTCCACCATTGGCAGACTTGCTGGTTAATTTGTGGTACTGCACAAGTCTCTTCAGAGCCTCAGTTTCCCCATCTGTAAAATATGAATGGCAAGGACTTCCTTTTCTTTCTTTCTTTCTGTCCTTCTTTCTTTCTTTCTTCCTTTCTTTTTTTCTTTTCTGTTTTTTGAGACAGGGTTTTTCTGTATTGCTTTGGAGCCTGTCCTGGAACTCTCTCTGTAGACCAGACTCTGGCTTCGAACTCACAGAGATCCACCTGCCTCCACCTACCAAGTGCTGGGATTAAAGGTATGTGCCACTAATGCTCGGCCAAGGCCTTCCTTTTCTGAGGACATGTTCAAGGTTTCAGAGAAGGGCCACCCCACCAAGCTGTCTGGGAAAGCAGATGCAGGACAGTGCCTCCTCCCCTCCCCTGCCCCGCTCCCAACACAACCTACTCCCTGCCTGGCCTCAATGCCTTCAACTAGAGGAAACTCCTTGGAGGGAGAAGGCAGATCACAGCCTCTTGGGCTGTAAACATTTGTGCCTCAGGCAACAGTAAGGGACGCAGTGTGGGGCTTCTGCCCAGGGTGAATGATGACCCAGTAGGCCTTTGGCCTGCTGTTGCATTACACAGTGGCTGGACACTGTCAGGATCAGCCAACAAGGCATTCAGGAGGATGCTTCTGACTCCCAGTTCATCTGAACCCCACGAAGGGACCCTGGGCTGATTCTGCCAGTGGGTTCAGGATGGCTCTTGTGACCCTTGCATGCAAAGATCTTGCCACTAAAATTACAGCACAGTGGAAGTGGAAGTCAGGGTGAGCACTGTTGAGATAATGGAGTGTCTTGGCCCTGCCTAACTCCCAGCTGCATGCCTTTGGGGAGAACTCTTCCTTGTTCTTAGCCTCAGTTTCCCCATCTGTGTGAAAAGGGATTGGTCTGGGCATGCAACCCCTGCTCTGCTATCCTGAACCAGCCACCTTCCACAGCAGCCTTCAGGGGAAAGCATTCCTTTCAAAGGATAATAGAGTGCCAGGAATGAATAGGATTCCAGCCATGTAGGGACCAGGTGGCCAGGCCCGTTCATTTCTAAACTGCATTAAGGTGCTTTCTGACAAATGACCTTTCACTGGCAGAGAAAGCAGCTGAGCACCAGGGGCAGAAAAGTGTTAATGAACACCCCCACCCGAATCATCAATGGCTCCCCTCTCTCCAGAGGCCTAATCATCTTCATTGGTGGGACTTTGCCTTCACTGGACTGTTGTAATTTGAATTGTGCATGTGAAAAATCTGTAATCAAAAAGCAACATTAAACAGTGCAGGGATCTGATGGCACCTGCCTTTATTTCTAAAAAAGGACTCGTGTCTAAGCATATATGCCTGTGCATTTGCTTATGTCACACACATAGAGACTACACAAAGACTCCAAAGATATTTATCAGTCCATAAACAGGGGAGATGGGGAAAATGACAT